GGCCACGCTGCAGTTGCGGGAGGAGGCGGCCCGGTGCTCCCGGTGCTCGGCGCTGGATCTCTTCAAGCTGCCCGTCGGCGAGGCGAGGAGGCAGCTCCAGGGGCTGATGTTCGGCATGGCCAAGCGCATCGAGAGCCTGGAGGAGCGCTTGGAAGGTCCGGGGGGGGCGGCTTGGGGGAGGGCAGAGGCAGGAGGGGGGAGGACAGTCCCCCGCCACCTTCACCGTGACACCCCCCGGCCCAAAAGAGCTCCGGGTGACCCAGCTCGGCCGGCGGTGGGAGGAAGCTTGTGCCTCCCTGGCCTTGCCCCGGGCGGCTTCTCCTGGGTGGGCTGGCTGGGAGGGAGGGCTGGCAGCGGGAGCGCTGCCTTCTTTCGCCGATTTGGGCTGGCCAGGGCCTGCACCTAACCACCTCGGACAGAAAAGATCCTGTACGAGCCTAGAGGATGTAGTGCTATGTCTCTGTGCAGAAACACCACCTTGTCACTGTGCCAGCACCACACCATCACCTCGGGGTGGGGGGAGATGCCTTATTTTAGGGGTTTAGGAAGATCTTGGAGCAGCATCAGCCTGGGTGGAAATGCTAGGAGGAGAACATGGCTCAGTTTGGCTGGGGAGGGCAGGGAGGTTGTGCTGGGGGTGCTGCATGCCGTGTTAGGGTGCCACAAGCTGTGGCTCCTGGTTCTTGTCTCGGCAGCAGTGGAGACACTGGCATCTTCCTGCAGCCCCGAGAAGAACACTGCCCGGAGCCTGCAGCTCTTCCTGCCAGGTAGGTAATTGCCAGGGGACACCTCCCCTGCTCTCCCTGCTTGTTTGCCTTCTCTTCTCCAGGAACCTGCTGGTCCTGTGTCCACGTGCTCATCAGGACACCCTGAGTCCCCTTGGCTGCGTGGCTGCCGTCAGCTGCCCTGCTGTTCTGATGTCCCTCCTGGTACAGAAGGGGCCAGGGCTCAGCACGGTGGTTCTCGGGGTTTCTGGGGTGCATTGTGCTCAGGTTGGATGCCGGTCATCGCCAGGCAGGTTACTCACTAGCCCTCAGGAGGTCAGGCTTCGCTGTTCTTCCAGGCTGGGGGCCATGGCAGGTCCATGGCTCCCTACTGTGCTGGGAGAGGCTTGGCCCTTCCTCACCTGCCATGGATGGTGGGCCTGCCGGGTTGGGCTGCTGGAGGCTCACCCTGGGCATGGAGAGGCTTGCAGGGCTGCCAAAGCAGCTAGCAGACCTTTTGTAATCCCCATCCTGCCTGTCCCTGCCTGAGGCAGACCCCAGACCCAGGAAGAACAGGAGTGCTGGCTCAGTTTTGCCAACCAAGAGGAAGATCCCGGGCGAGTCTCTTATTAACCCTGGCTTCAAAAGGTCGGTGTTGCTCCCAGGCCCAGTGCTGGGGCTGGGCTGTGTGGAGATTCAGTGGACTCTGCTCTGTAGCTACATGGGAGCAGACTGTGGGGCTTTGAGCTGTGATGCTTCCTCCATCTCCTTCTAGCAAGAAGGCACCATCTGGAGTGGATTTTGAAGATTCCTGACCTGGCTGTCCCATCCCCTGATGCCCAGAGCCTTGTCAACCACGTGTGTGGCTGGTGGAGGTTTTGCTGCACCCTGGGCCTGCCAAGCCCCTTGCGCCTGGAGAGGTGGACGGGGCAAGCATGACCCAGAGGGCTGGCCTCAGCTGGTGTGGCAAGGCCATTGTGGGGGACAGATAGGGCAGGGGTAACAGGAGTGGTGGCTTTTCTCCCTGCAGCTCTTCCCTGCTGGCAGGGGCCACCTCTCTACCTCACTTGCCTTGAATTGGTGGGGTTTTTAAAGAGCTTTTATATCATGATGTAACAAAAAGATTGCCTGTGCTTAACTTACTGCCAGTAAAGGTGGTTTTAGCCAGCTGGTCTCTAGGAACCGGGACAGTGTGGGTGTGTCGGTCCATTCTGCCTTTCCGTTGCTCAGGAACCCTGTGGCCAATTTCAGCTAAACCTGGAGGGTCAGGTGCTCAGAGGAGTTCAGTTTCCTGCCAGCTTTGTGCCAGTGGGCTAGTGGGTGAGTGGTTGGAGCCTCCCCAGCCTGGTGGAGAGCTGGGAGAATGGCCCAGCCCTTGCTAGGCACTGGGAGAAAACGGGGATCTGATGCAAAGTCTTGCAAGGAAGGAGAGCTGCTGGGGCTGGTCACTCGACTCACGCTTGTCTCACTTGCAAAGCCTTTATTGATTTCCAGGAGCTCTGATACATGGCTTGGACTTGCCCCGCTTCACCCCCATCCCTCTCCCAGATCTGCTCCTGAGAGCTTCCTCATTGCTGTTGGAGGACAGTGCTCTCCCCACACCCAGGATGATGGGGCTGGCCATGTCCGCCACTCGTGCCATCCCGCCGGCTCCGTTCTCAGGCCTCTGCCATGCCTGTGCCAATTCTCACCCCGTGCAGCTCCTCAGGGCACCCTGCAGTGCATGCTGCCCTGGCACAGCCCTGCCTTGGCTCACTCAGCTGGCGGGTGGCACAGTGTGTCTCCGAGGGAGTCTGCAGGGATGGGTGCTGCAGAGCGTTGCCCTCTCTGCCCCACAGCCCTCTGCTCTGGGCAGCTTTTCCTCCCCAGCTCCTGCCCTTACCCTCAGCATTGCCCATCTTTGATACAGATGGTGCCTGTGGCTGTGGCCCCCTTGCACCCATCCTGATGCTTGAGGGACCACAGGGCAGGTCACAGGGGTCCTGACCAGGCAGAGCGGGTGGCACAAGAGGTGAGAATGCATTTGCAGGCTCGGGGTGGTGCAGATTGCTGCCGGCACCGTGGCAGGGGTGCCAGCAGGGGGAATTTGGGTGCCGGGGCACAGCTCATGCTCTCTGCCCTCCCACGTGTGTGCAGGCAGGACTGTGGTGGTCATGGCAGGACCAGGGTGGGTGCTGGCCTGTTTTCCAACCCTGGTCCTGTGTCCACCTGGGCGCAAGCCTGGCTCACTGTGGCAACCGGACCACGGAGCGATAGGCTTGCATGATTTCCTCACTGTTGGGGCAGGTGTATTTGAACTCCTTGGTGTCATTGGCACTATTGAGGTAGCGCCACACAGCCTGCAGGTCCTTGGGGATCCCGAAACGGCGGTAATGCTGGCACACGACCTGTGAGCAGAAACGGGGTGAGCCCTTGCCCAGCACTGTGTGCCTGTGGTGTGCCAAGGAGGGCCCCGCAGCCGGGCGGTGGTATTGATGGGCAGGAGCCAGCCAGGAAGGGTGGCAGGGGGCTAGGGGACATCTCAGGCACTGCATGGGACAAAGGGATGCCAAGGGGAGTGAGATCCGTGGCAAGGCACCATGCTGGGCAAGGGTCATGGGGAGGGGGGTGCCAGAGGGGCACCAGGGTTATAAAGGGGTTGACAAGAGCTGGGGTTTACTGCAAGCATGCAGCAGGAGGTGAGAGCATGGGGCTGATGGCATCGAGAAGCTGGGCCAAGGGTGGGGACATGGCACCGAGTGCTTGCGCTCACCTGAACAATGTTGAGCTTGGGCAGCAGGTTGCAGTCGGCTAATGTGAGCTGGTCCCCATCAAGGAAGCGGCGCTGGGAGGCCCGGAGGTGGGGGTCACGGGCCAGCTCGTACTCCAGGGGGGCACTCAGGTACTCATCCAGCTTCAGCAGGGCCCGCAGCAGGTTCCGCTGCAGTGCTGCGGGGAGGGCAGCAGCACCACTGCATCAGGGCACAGGCCCACTGCAGGCCCGCGAGTCTGCCATGACCTCCTGCCAGCCCATCCCTGTGCCCAGACAGTGCCTGCCTGCCATCTTCCTGCCTTGTCCAGGCAGGCACTTGCCCCTGCCCGCCCAGGAGAACCCTGGTGTGGCCACCTAACCGCGTGGAGAGGGGCCGTGCCTGGAGAGAACCAGCTGTGGCCTGGGGCAGGAGAGGGCTGGAAAGGTTCAGGGTGACCTGACCAGGCATCAGGCTGGTGGCACCTGAGAGGTTGCAAGGGATCTCCCCCCACCCAGCTCCTCACCCTCGTCCTGGGAAGGCGATGGGTTCTTGATGAAGGTGGAGAACTTGTGGAAGATGTCATTCCCAGCCAGGCTTGACTCCCTGTACTGTGGGACCAGGCTGGGGAACCTGCAGGGACGTGGGCACAGGTGAGGAGAGGGGCAGGGGCTGGCAGTATTATGTGCTGCTTGCCTCTCCCCCCACCCCCCCTTAGCCTGTCCTGCCCCTCTTTGGTCCCTTGCCCCATCTTGGGGCAGTGCCAGCCACTGACATGGGGGGGCCCAGGTGATCCTCCAGGAAGTCCTCGATGGTGACGGTGTCAGTCTTAGGCTCGCCGTTGTAGAGCAAAACGGGCAGCTGGGCACCTGGTGCAAAGTCCTTCAGCACGTCCGGTGCCCTGTGGGAGATGGGAACAGATGCTGACGCCTTGCAGTGCCCAGGGCTCTGCAGGACACTGCATGTGTGTGTGTGCACGCATGTGTCCTGGGCAAAGGGATGAGGTGGTGCCCCTAGGCTGCCCCTGCCTCCCTGGGTGCCCACGGCAGCTCTGCCAACGTCCCTCAGGCAGCAGTGGGAGGGTACAACAGGCTCCACGTGTCCCACAGAACCCACCCTTTGCTCCTCTGCCCAAGTGTTGGGGACCTACCACCTCCCCATCAGTGTGCCAGGGCAAGGCTGTCCCACCCTGCCCATGGCCCTGGCCCCATGGTGGCAATGCCCATGGTGAGTGGGGGGTCACAACTCACCTCTTCACATCCACGGTGGTGAGGGTGAAGGGCACCCCTTTGAGCAGCAGCACCATGAAGAGCCGCTGGCAGAAGGGGCAGTGGCCCATGCTCTCCCCATCCTCGCTTGCCTGCAGGCAGAGAGGGAGAGCTCAGCTGCCCCTTTGCCCCAGCTTGGCTGTGGTGGGGACAGCGCTGGCCAGGCCCCCCCCGGTACATGCAGGGTGAGGGTGGCAGGGCACACACCACCCCCCTGTCCAGCCAAGCTCAGGCTAGCCGCAAGCCAGGGAGCAGCACTGGCAGTGTGTGGCACCTGCTAGCCCAGGCAGGGTGCCAGCCCCTGGCCCCCACCTGCTCCTGGGGCCACGATGCCCCACCCCAGAGCAGCCTGCGTGGCACAGCGGGTGCTGGCCCTGGCAACCCTGGGGGACCCGGGGCCCCCAGGCTGCCCCAGCCCTTCAGAGCCGAGGGGGCAGCAGCTTGGGAGCAGCTGTTGGTCAGGACAGCCCAGCATGGCAGGGGCTGTGCTGGAGGAGGGTGATGGCCATGCTAGTGGCCCCATCGCCCCAAGGTGTGAATCCCAGGCAAGCCTTGTCCTTCCCTGTGCAGCCGGACAGACTGCCCTGGCCAGGTGCTGGCTGGGAAGGGCCCTGCCGGTGCAGGCAGGCAGGTGCTGTGGTGGCCGAGCTGCTGGGCAG